TCTTTCTCCACGTTCTCCTTACATCCTCTCTTCTTCCGCGTCCTCCTCGTCCCCTGTTTACTCCTCCTGCCTCCCCCTCCTTTCCCAAGATAACGGCAACGCAATCCTTTTTTCCACTTTATGCTCCCCGACTTCTCTGATCAAGGCAACTCGCCAGGGCAAAGTTGCTGGACGGGCTGGTGTGGATGCGCGGGGCTTGAAGAGGTCGTTGCGGGCTCAGACGGCATGCAAAAATCCGCCGCCGCGCTTGTGCGGCATTGGTTTGTTCTGTGAACGTGGTTTGGGTCGCGGGTGGGTCGCGGGCTCTCCACCTCCACCTGGAAGGAATGCAAAAGCAGCCCGCCGCAGGCGCCGAAAAATTTGGTTTGTACACTGAACGTGGAATGGGTCGCGGGTGGGCCGCGGGTTCTCCACCGGGAACGAATGCAAAAGATGCCCGCCGCAGGCGCCGAAAAATTTGGTTTGTACCCTGAACGTGGTCGCGGGTGGGCCGCGGGCTCTCCACCTGACACGAATGCAAAAGATGCCCGCCGCAGGCGCCGAAAAATGTGGTTTGTACCCTGAACGTGGTTTGGGTCGCGGGTTGGTCGCGAATTGGTCGCGGGGTGGGTCGCGGGCTCTCCACCTGGAAGGAATGCAAAAAAAGCCCGCCGTACCTTGAACGTGGTTTGGGTCGAAGGTGGGTCGCGGGTGGGTCGCGGGGTAGGTCGTGGGTGGGTCGCGGGTGGGTCGCGGGTGTGTCGCGGGTGTGTCGCGGGTGGGTCGCGGGGTGGGCCGCGGGGTGGGTCGCGGGTGGGTCGGTCGCGGGGTGGGTCGTGGGGTGGGTCGCGGGTGTTAAGGCCCAGTAAAGCGACCGGCGTGCTGACCCCCCCCCCCTTCGCGAAAGGAGGTGCGTCGCGCATTCGTCGCCCGTGCGCCGCCCGTGCGTCGGCCGCCGAAAAGGCCAGCCGCCCTCTCGAACGTGCACGTCGCCCTCGCAAGGGGGATATTTGGCGAGTGCGCCGCCAGCGCGGCGGACACCCACGGGGCGGATCGCACGCGCGTCGCCCTCTCCGCGGCCGCTGGAAAGGCTGGTCGCCTTCGGGAAAAATAAAGTCGCCCACGCTGCAGCCCTCTTGGCGAGAAGAAGGCGGCCGCTGGGCTACCTCGGCAGATCAGCAAATCCCCCTAACATTACAAATGCAACGACGCTGCTGAACGCAGCCCGGCGATAAGCCAGCAGGTCCCCGCAGCCGCCGCCACAGCCGCTGCAAACGCCGCCAGCGCCAAAACTACCGCCGCCACGATCACCACAAACGGATGCGACCGCAACCACATCCACCGCGACGATTACGACCAACACCATTTACCGCCATAAACACCACCACGACCACCACGCTTCTCGCGACCACCACAACGACCGACACCAGCACGATCACCGACGTGACCACCACCAGCCCGCCCACCACCAGCGGCGCGACCGCCGTCAACGCGACCAAGGCGACGAACGCGACCACGACCATGATCACCAACATGACCATTACAGAAGCACCCGCCCACTCCGTCCTCCCACCCACCCCACTCCCCTGCCGGGCCGCCCTTGACGCCGCGCCCGCCTCGCGCCAGTGCCCCTCCCCCCTCCTGTTCTCCTCGTCATCTTCCTCTTCCACCGCCAGCGGCGGGGCCGTTCGCGGAAGGCGGGGGCGCCGCTCGCGGCGACGCGCCGCGGCCGTGGAAGGGGGGCCGAAGGAGAAAAGAAAATGAAGAGGGACACGGGGTGGCAAAGGACAAAAAAAAAACAAAGGCGAGAGAGGAGGGGCGAGGGACAGACAGAGGGGGGCCGGTAGAAAGGAGGAGGAGAAGGGGAGGAGAGAGGGAGACGAGGCAGGAGAGAGGACGAAGGAGGAGGAATGACAAAAGAGGAGGGACGACGAGGAAGGAAAAGGGAAATAACAGGGGCAAGCACCGCCCTTCCTGGCGCAATGGAGGACGCAGCCGCCGCCACTTGTGAACAGCGCAAGCACGGCGGGCCGACGGCCGCTGCGCATTGCTGCTCGGCGAAATGCTAGGGGCGGGCAAAGTCGCGACTGCGTCGCGCATGCGTCGCGCGTGCGTCGCGCGTGCGTCGCGCGTGCGTCGCGCGTGCGTCGCGCGTGCGTCGCGCGTGCGTCGCGCGTGCGTCGCGCGCGTCGCGCGTGCGTCGCGCGTGCGTCGCGCGGGTCGATCGTGCGTCGCGCGCTGGCAGGGGTGCGTCGCGCGCGGGTCGGGGTGCGTCGCGCGCGCGTCGCGCGCGCGTCGCGCGTGCGTCGCTCGGCGTCGCTCGGGTCGTTCGCGCGTCGCGCGCAGGTCGCGCGCGAATCGCTCGAAGGGCGCCGTGGGCTCCTGACGGCATGTGAACTGCACGGCCCGCTGGCGAAACAATCAGGGGATGCGCGCGGCAATCGTAGACATGGCGAGACACGCGCGTGAGAACTAGTTAACGCGAGGAGACCAATAGACGACATGGAGATGCAGCGCGCACGGACTAATCCATTTCAAGCGCAAGCCCCGCCAGATTTTGAACATCGGTCCGTCGCTGCAGCAATTTGGCGACGTCTCGCTCGCCGATGCATTGGGGGGGGGGAAAGAGGATGGAAGTGAGGCGAGGGAAGGACGGGCGGAAATGGGAACGGACGGGCGAGGAGGGGGCGCGCGGGGGCGGCGCAGCGGCGGCGGGAGCGATGGAAGTGGATCGAAGGGAGGCGAAGAGAGCGAGGAGGGCGATAAGAAATTCCAGGAGGGTGGAAGGACAACGGGGGGTGAGTAGGGAGGCGGACAGGACGGCAGCCTGACACAAAAGAACTGCACACAAACTTCGCAAACGTGACAAAACGCGCAGCGCATTGGACGAAGGGAAGAGGAAGGAAGAGGGGGGGGGGCAGGAGGATTGGCGCGAAACGACATGGGGGTGCGGGGCGCGATGCGACGGGGCGAAGTGGCGCCGCGTCGCGCGACGTGACGTCACCCCCACCGTGGCGCGACACGCAAAGCCCCCAATCAACGCGAGGCGTCTTCGTCCTCAGCAACGGTTGGCGCCCCCGACAATGAGCAACACCAGATCCTCTTGCGCCGAATTGGGAACAGAACGCGTTGGTGGACCGTCGAACTAGGAGTGCGCCGCGACAGCCAAAATGGCTGTTGGTGCACCGGCGTCGGAAACCTATATATCGCCAGAGAAATTCCGAAGTCGCGCCATATGTCGCCCACGCACTCTGGGAGGCCGGGATTCGGGACAGAGACGCAAACCAGGGCCGGCGCACGGGCGACGCTCGGGCGACGCACTGAACGAAACTTAAAGGGGGGGGGGTGGTCGCTTCACTGGGCCTTAACAGTCGCGGGGGGTCGCGGGTGGGTCGGTGGTCGCGGGGTGCGGGGTGGGTCGCGGGGTGGGTCGCGGGGTGGTCGCGGTGGGTCGCGGGTGGGTCGCGGGTGGGTCGCGGGGCGGGTCGCGGGGGGGTCGCGGGTGGGTCGCGGGGCGGGTTGCGGGGGGGACGACGAAAACAAACAACAACAACAACAACAACAACAACCAACAACAACAACAACAACAACAACAACAACAACAACAACCAATCATTTAAGACTGGGGACACTCCGTTCTCACCAGTGCCAGGGTTTTCATAGGAGGCGGGCAATACCCCCACTTTGTGGGGGGGCCGGTTCAAGCTCTACCAAATTTCCAAACGACTCTTCGCCACCACCCACACCCAGCTTCCCGCCCTATGACGTTCGGACACTTCACTTCGTGGCATGCGGACGACCGTGGCTACTATTCAGGGCCCCGCGGCCGACGACGACGGCGTGCGCGCGCGAAGAAAAAACGAATGTGTCCCGCATGGTATTATTTGACAGGGATGATGGCCCTGGCAGGTGCGCAACCGTTGTCGCAGAAGTTCGAAAAAGTTGCTCGCAAAAGCCCGTTTGACAGAAATGTTTAAAAAGTGTTGGGTTTCCTACGAATCCGCAAGAGCGCGCGGGATGAACTTTCGAAAAACCATTTTTTTTTTTTTTATTTTTTTTTTAATGTTTTTATGTTAAAATCGCTACGAAAACTAAGGTTTTGGAAGGATTTCGTCTTGCGCGCGCGAATGTCCACTTTACCTTATTTTTTTGCAAGGGATTCTTGAAGTTTGATATGTTAGAACAAGAAATTTCATGTTATAGTGTTTTTTGCAAGGGAAAGCGGGCGTCAACAAAACAACCGGATCTGGATGACATCGTTTTACCTGAGGCTTCCTCACGAAAATGATGAAAACGTGGCTGCGGCCTAGGCGCGGCGAGGGGGTCGCGCACCAGGGGTCCCAACAATAATTATTCTTTAGAATAAATAATGTTCAACAACAACAACAACGACAACACCAACACCAACAACAACAACAACAACACCAACACCAACAACAACAACAACAACAACAACAATAGCAACAGCAGCAACAACAACAACAACTACAACAACAACAACAGCAGCAGCAGCAGCAGCAACAACAACAACACCAACACCAACAACAACAACAACAACATCAACAACAACAACAGCAACAGCAACAACAACAACAACAACAACACCAACAGCAACACCAACAACAAACAACAACGAGAATCCGCACCGCGGAATCCCACTTCAGCCACGCACCCAGGGACAGTGAATGACCGTTCGGCCCCCTCACTCTGATAATGGTGTTTTGGCACGCTTCAGGACCTTCAAACGGTTGTCTCGCGACGGGGAACTTCCCCCAGTGGAAATGAATCCTTGTAGGGGCCTGTAAAGAGGGAGCTTGGAGAGAGGGTCCATTCCAACATCGTTGATAAATTTGGGCTTACACTGGTACTCATCTCCTCCTCTTCTTCTTCCTCCTCCTCCTCCTCCTCCTCCTCCTCCTCCTCCTCCTCCCCCCCTCCTCCTCCTCGTCCTCCTCGTCCTCCTTCTCCTCCACCTCCTCCTCCTCCTCCTCCTCCTCCTCCTCCTCCTCCCCCTACGGAGCCTTCGCGGGCAGGTCGGGAGTTCGCGCGTGCCAGCTGCGCACCTCTCGGCCGGGGGTGGGGGGCAGGCCAGGCGAGCTGCGCGCCGCGCGCGGGAGCAGACGCTCGCCGCGGCGCTTGGATGGGGCGAGGGGGGCCCGGGTGGCCTCGCCTTACCTCATCCCCCCCGTCTCCTCGCTGGACTCAATCTGATGGGGGGCGCCCATCCTTGACACAGGTGCTTCCGAATAGCCCCCCTGGGTATATACCAAAGCTTTTCTGAGCTCGGGTGTTGGGGGATAAAAAATCGCCTGCGAGGCGGCGCTCCCCGGTGGGGGAGACAGAGCGGAGCGGCGACCATACATCCGTCCAGCGAGACGGCTCCATACTGAGCAAAACGCACGGAGAGGCCGGAAATGCATCAACCATGGAATGAGAGGCCCGTGTCTCTCGCTGCTTCTCTCTCCCACCTCTTCCCTCTATCCCTCTTACCTTCCATGGCATTTCTGCTATACCGCATGATGTTTCACTGTTTCACTGCGCCGATACCTAGGGGAAGACAGAAGGGGCGGGCATTCTCAGAATTGAGCAGGGACGGACCGTCCCGGCATTTCTATAGTGCTACCAGGAAGGGTTCTTCGAACCCAAACATGTTCTAATAGCAAAAGCACTATTCTTAGAACATACACCCGATGTGATAAAACAAGACACTCCCAGCCAGAAATGTTCTTTAAACATTTCGTGGAAACCACACAAGGTTCTTAGAACATTGTTTGGTAGGGCTATAGGCGAGCCAGGACGCTTCGCCACTGTTTGACAGAAGACTCAGAAGGCTTCTGGCCTTCCGAGAGAAACTCGCTGAGCCTTCTCTTCGAAGCGGCAAGGGGTTGCTCGGAGAATCGGAGGGCGTCCGAGCAGCCCCGCCGCCTCCTGAGAAGGCCTGCCCCCTCTCACGAGGAGCAGGAGAACAGGAGCAGGAGAACAGGAGGAGGAGGAGGAGGAGAAGAAAGGTGAGAGGAAGAGGAGGGGGCGAGAGGACGAGAGGAAGTGGAGGACACACTAGCATGGGGAGACAGGCCGCCCTGGCGGCGGCTCCAAACAGGGCCAGCAGGCCCTCCGGAACAGTCCTGCACACCTGTGTCCCCCTTTGCGTTTCCGATGGGACGGCCCCTCTCAGAAAGGCCGACCCCCCGACGCCTGGACCACTTGCTCGCGACTGTCTCCCTTCCGCCCTGAGCCTCGCTTAACCTAATTATCCTTATCCCCACTGGCATGGCCCTGGTCCCTCTGGGCGACGTGCCCCTCAGATGGGGATGCATGCTGCTATCTTCGGGCGTCGCAGGGCCTGTCCCTACCTGTGGGGGTGGGCAGGCGCAACTGAGATACCAAGGCCCAATGGGGATGGGGATCGGTTACACGCTGCTGACGCCCTCCTTTAGCAGGGCCCGACCGTCCCGGCATTCCTCGTCGTGGTGCACAAGAACGCTCCAATCACGAAAGCCATGCTCTTGGAACATGCAACCAGTGGATCAAACCAAGACGGTCTCAGCCAGCCTTGTAAAGAAAATTTCGTACAAACCACACAACAGGTTGTTAGAACATCCTGTGGTGGGCATATGCGCAGGTCGGGACACTTCGCCACTGCTTGACCTCCCCCCCAAGGATACCCCAGCCAGCGCCGCCGCCACAGCCGGGGTGGCCACCAGCCCGACCAGCGCGGGCACGCTGGCCGGCAGCAACCTCGGGCTGGCCCTCCTCTCCCAGCAGGTCTGGATGGCTGGCCATCGCACGGGGAGCCCGTGGTGAAGGCGTGGCGCCCAAGTGGAAGTGAGGGGGGGGGGCAGGCCTTCTCAGAAGGCTGCGGGGCTTCTCAGAAGCTCCCGCGCCTTCTGGGAAGCCGTCTGCGACTTCGACGAAGGCTTGGGCGGCGAGTGCTTCTGAGAAGCCCCGTCGCCTTCTGCGAAGGCCTGCCCCCCCCCTTTGCTCCCACCCTTGGCGCGCCGCCGAGTGGTGAAGTCATGGCAAGGCTCTTGGGCGAGCACACTCGAGACACAAGACTGACAACACCTGGGGGTGCACTACCATTCCGAGTGCAATATGGTGCAAAGACGCCGCGGCGCACACGAGTACCCCGCCGAGGAAAGCAGAAGGGGATGACAGGACATGAGGGTACCGTTGATTGTGCAACCAGCGCTGGCTCTGTCAATTTTGCGAGTCCCGCCCCCATATGGTGAAAGGTAGGCTGTCGATCTCCTCCTCCTCCTCCTCCTCCTTCTCCTCCTCCTCCTCTTCCTCCATTCGGCTCCTCTTCCACACTCCCTCTCGGAGCCATCATCTTCTATTATCCCCTTCCTCGTCGTCCTTTTCCCTCCTCCTCCTCCTTCTCCTCCTGCGCCTCCTCCTCCTCCTCCTCCTCCCTCCCTCCTCCTCCTCCCTCCCTCCTCCTTCATCCACCTCGTCGACCGAGACACAATCCCAACGAAGCCAAGCTTGCTGGACGATGGGCTCGCTGGACCGTGTCAGGACCTCTGAAACCATTGGGATGACTCCGGGCCCCAGGAGCTAGCGCCACCAGACCAGAGCAGGATGGGACGAATCAGCACAAGCGAGCGAGCGAGCGGAAGCCGAGAGGCAGCAGGATCCAGAGAGGAAGGGGCGAGCAAGCACCTCACCCCCCACCTCACCCCCCCCCAGCACCTACACGGTGGATCCCGAAGGCCAGGACCACCTTGCAACGAATCAGCACAAGCAGGAGGCGGCCATGCAGGAGGAGAAGTGTCCGACGGAAACGGCGGCAGCGAGCGGACTCCGTCGAGGGCCGCGGAAACAGTGGAGCAATAGACCTCGGGCGGTTGACCATGGGGGGACGACAAGGTACCGTTACCGCGACTCTCCCGGGGTGTGCCCTGACCAGACTCCCGAAAAGGATCCAGCCGTGGCGACAAGGGCTTTCAAGGACGAGCGGTGGCATCGGTACACGCAGTCGACGCGCATAGTAAGGATGTGCGATAAGGCCAGGTCGACACATTTCGAGCGGGGCGCGGCCAGCTACAGTGAACAAGAATGGGCCGAAAGGGAAGGATGCAAGGGAACCCTTGGAGAGCCACTCATCCTTACTGTGCGTGTTGGCTGCTTCTCTCTTTCCTCCCCTGAGGGTCGTGTCCCCGCAGTGGGCGACCCTGCCTGCAAGCCTGCTTCTTGAGGGCCGGCTACACGGACGAGGGACCCTGGGCAGGAGTGACTTTTAGCGCGCGGACTGAGGGGGCGCAGAGTGGCCAAATCCAAGCGCGCAAGCAGCCGCTGTCGCATCGCGCTCAGCGGTCGGAGGGACCCCGCTGAGCCCGCACCATTGGTCACTCCGCCGAAGGGTCACTCTTACGCGTAGTCGAGCAGTGCGGCCCTCTCCTCGGGGCCGAGGGCGCGCACGGTGCGGGCGTGCCCGAGGCGTGCCGCGCCAGAGGGCAAGCTGGGTGCGCCTTCGCCACATCTGACAGCCTATCCCTCCCTGCCATCCCTTCCCATTCTCCGACCCCCCTCGGGCCATGACACAAATCGCAGCGGGAGGTTGTTCCATTTTTTCGGCCTCGGCCCTCACCTTTGCCTCGGGACCGTCAACAAAACGACGGAGAATGAAAAGCCGGTCCTGGAGAATGGGTCGAGACCTCTGGGGGTCGCCGTTATGAAACAAAAACACATTACGTCGGGGATCTGGGTTGCGATCTACCCCTTTTCTCCATGCGCAGGCGCGTGTCGTGGCCGAGGCTGGAAGTCTACAAGAGACCCCCATCGTGTCCTGCGTGGTCGGAGGCGGGACACGTGTGGGACCTGGGCGACCTGGGAGACCTCCGTGGCCTGTGGTGTGGGGCCTGTGAGACCTGCGGCACCTGTGGGGCCCGTGGGGTAGGGTGGGTGGGTGGGTGGGGGGCGAAAAGACGCAGTTGGGGGGGGGGGGGGGGGGGGGGCAGACCTCCCAGTCGAGAGGCCCCCGAGCCTCCCGACCGTCGAGAGGGCACACGGGCGGCAGCTTCCCTTCCCGCCCCCCCGTCTCCCCCTTCCCCGCCTTAAAGCTACACAGTTGAACGGATGGAAGGCGGCCCCTTTCAAAGTAGGGTTTCTATATGATACGTCCTGAGCGGCGATTGCGATTATGTCACCGTGGCACGGATGGTGCTTGGTTTCTTTTCAAAATGGGGCTCTCGCTGCAAACTTCCAAAGGTTTAATGACCTGCGATCTAGCACCAGGCAACAGCTACACGGGTGGAGGGCGATTGTTTCCAAAACGGGGGTGTCGCCCAGCTTGTCGCATTCCTTCACGTTCGATGGCAAGAAAGCAATCAATTCAAAATGGAGAGGTCCCGCCTGAATTGCGGGTCCATGGAGTGTTGCTTTTTTCGAGGGGGCGCTTCACGCAAGGAAAGAGAGTGATTGTAGGGACGAATTGGGAGGGGACTTTGGACGGAAGGGCGTACTGCAGCATTGCTGATACTCCTTGGGATTACTCTGGTCCTCCTCCCCATCTTCCGATCCCTCTCCCTCCTCCTCCTCCTCCTCCTCCTCCTTCTCCTTCTCCTTCTCCTACTCTTCCTCCTTCTCCTCCGTCTTCGGTCCTCGGTCCTCTGCCCTCCTCCTCCTTCTCCTCCTCCTCCTCCTCCTCCATCTTCTCCTCCTCCTCCCCCATCCCCCTCTATCCCTCCTCCCTATCTCCCTCTCTCCCTCCCTGCTCCTCCTCCTCATCCTCCTCCCTCCGTCCCTCCCTCCCACCCTGCTCCAGGGGCCCACGTCCCAGGCACAGGCGCACGCGGAGGCGAATGGGCGAATCGGGCCGGCACCGGCGTTTCGGGCGCTGGGCCACCACTCCACGAAGTCGCCGCGCGCCGTCTCCGCGCCCAGGTCCCTGGCGACGCCCAGCGCCATGAAGTTCAGGCACGCCCCCGTGATCCTGGTCTCGGCCGACGGCACTCCATAGGCTTCCTGCGGTCGGGGACTTTTGCAGAGCGTCTCGCGGCGGCGGCCCCGGCCACACGCTACGCCCTGCGAGCGGACGGCGTGTCGCTCCGCTCCGCGGAGCGGGATGCTCGGGAAAGCTCCCGACATTCACGCCTCGGGACCGTGAAGTGGGTAGCGTGTCGCGCCGAGGCGCGGTGGGCCAGAACCAGCGGAGCGACACGCTATCCAAAAACTCCCGACCGTAGGCTTCCTTAATGGGGTCCGAGGAGCTGAGGTGGAAGGATCGCGCCGCATCCCCGATGCACTGGCGATGCATCGGCGACGTCGGCGATGAATCGGCGACGCCGTGGTGGATAACATCGGGCTCCACGTCGCGACGCATCTGCGATGCGGCGCGATCCTCCGACCCAATTGCTCGGACCCCGCCTGGGAGGCCTGGACACTCCGGGCCCCGTGGAACGGAGGCACAGCTGTGCAGCAGGATGTTGGCACGCCCAAGAAAGCTGCAGCCGTCGTTCCCTCCAGCTGAAGTCCTCAAGGTCCTGGTCTGCCATGTCCTGGTTCCTGGCGCCCCACAGGGCTCACACGGTGAAGCTGGCCAGGATGTGCGCCCGGCTCCCCGCTCCCTCGTGCGCCCCGCTTGCTCGATCTTTGCTGTTTTGCCCTGCTCGCTCGATTGGCACGCGTCCGCGAGCAGAACTCCTCCTCCTCCTCCTCCTCCTCCTGGGTGAAGCGACGCGGCAGGACGGGCGCCACGAGGCGAGCCGCTTGAAGGGAGGCGCGAGGCCGCCACGGCAGAGGACGCCCCGACCAAGACTCAGGGAGGGAACGGGGGCCAAGAGCGGGCAAGGAGGAAGGGCCACTGCACCGACCTTGCAGACGTGCTGCAGCGGATTTCTGCGTGGATTCTTGCTCATGCAAAACCCCGAAGCTGCAAGCGAACAACGAAGTGGAATCCAATTGGATCTGTTGTAGTCTTCATTCCTGGCCAACAAAAAAAAACTGCACGAAATTCGCTTCGAAATCTGGAACGCAACTTTCCAGGACAATTCGGGCCCATCCTATTGTTTTCCCAACGAAGTCCGCTCCGCGATGTTGTCGCCATGAGAAGGGGCGGGAGGGGAACGACAAGCAGGACGAGAGCTCGCGAGTGCGGAGGCGAACAAACCGCCGCGCGCACAGTAGGGACCCACGCGAGCAGAGCAAAAAGACAAGGGGGCGCGGCGGAAGAGGAAAGGAGGCGACATGAAGACGATCACGGCTAGGGCTGGGTCCAAGGCAAGCTAAACAGGCAGATACGTGTATGATTGCACTGCGTGGACGCAACGTACGCACGGACCTACCCATGTTGGCGGGAGGGCGCACCCCAACGCAACGGCTGGGGTTGGACGTCGACGGCCGTTCGGGGTCCAGATGGGCTCCAAGCCACCAATCCAAACCACAAAAACAACACCACCACCAACAACAACACCAACACCACCACCAACAACAACAACGACCACGCCAACAACGGCAACACCAACAGCAACAACAACACCGACATTCAGTTTGAGACTGTTCGCTCTTATCTGCTCGCGTGCCAGTCGACACGTATATCCCAAACCCTCGATACCCGCCCTCTGCGTCGTCGATCGCATCCCCTGAAGGGTATATCTTTCTTACCTGCAACGTGTATTCCGTGTAGCCCCCCAAGCTAGGGGAAGAGAGGACAGATGAAGGAAGGTACAGGGAGGAGGGGGGAGGATGGAGCACGAGAAATAGTACCAGGAGGGAGGCTAGGAGCAGAACAACACGTGTCAGAACCAGACGGGCAGATCGGGCGGGTAGACCAGTCGGGAAGGCAGGCCCAAGCGGCCAGGTTGAGCGATAGCGCGATTCCCACATGAATCGTGAGGAAATTGTCGAGGGCGGCGTCAGAATAAGTTGCGAGGAAATCACGCGCGAGAGCTCGATTTCTGCATACATTGTGAAGAAGTCCCGCGCGAGAGCGCTATTTGATAATACATTGTGAGGAAGTATCAAGCGGGAGCCGTTGCTGTTGTAAACCGGGGGCCAATGGCCCAGTTTGGTGACCCCTCGCTTTCCCTTGACAAAAACTGTGTGCGAGCCCCCGAAGGAGCATTTGAATTGAAGAATGCAATGGTTACCAGAGGGGGGGGTACAACAATTATTCTTTAGAACTGATATTTCAATAACAACAACAACCACAACAACGGCAACAACAATAACAACAGGAGCAGCAACAACCACAACAACAGCCTTAGCAGCAATAACAACAGCAACAGCTATAGCAACAGCAACAACAACATCAACAACAACATCAGCATCAACACCAACACCAACACCAACACCAAAACCAACAGCAACAACAACAACAACAATCATTTTAAGACTACGGGGCCACGAAGGGCAGCGAGGGGGCCACGAAGGGCTGCAACGGGGCCACGAAGGGCAGCGAGGGGGCCACGAAGGGCTGCAACGGGGCCACGAATGGCAGCGAGATCCTGGTCCCTCAGTACGCTGTGAGGGAGTCCTAAGCGTGAGCGCGACTCCTGGGTGCCTGAGTGTCGGGAGCGCGGCGCTTGAGCAAATATCGGGGATTCCAACGCAAGAGCGCGATTCTTGAGTAAATTGCAAGCAAGTCTCCAGCGAGAGTGCGACTCCAGAGCGCTGAGAGAGCGATTCCTGAATAAATGTTGAGAAAGTGCCAAGCGAGAGCGCGATTCCTAAGTAAACTGCGAGGACGCCTCAGGCAGGAGCGGGGGTCCTGGCTAAACTGTGAGAAAGTCTCCGGCGGGAGCCGTTGTTGTTGTTGTAACCCGGGGGTCAGGGGCGCAATTTGACCCTTGTGACTTTCCCTTGTAAGAAAAACAAGGTGCGAGCCCCGGGTGAAGCACTTCATTTGAAAAAGCAAAATGGTCACCGAAGGGGGGGTCATCAATCATTATTCTTCAGGAGTGAGAATTCCAAAACAGCATCAACTACAACACCAACAACAACGCCAGCAACACAAACAACATTCATTATCAGACTGGTCGCTCTGACCTGCTCGCATGCCATTCAACACGTAAATCCCAAACCCTCGGTACCCGCCCTATGCGTCTTCGATTGTACCCTCCTTAGGGGTATATCTTCCCTACCTGCCACGTGGAGTCGGCGCAGCCCCTAAAAAAAGGGAAGAGGAGGACGGATGGAAGGGGGAGGGAGAAGGATGGAGCACGAGAGAGACTAGGAGGGGGGCTAGGAGCAGAAAACACGTGGCAGATCCAGACGGGCCCATCGGGCGGTCAGACCCTGATGGGCAGGTCGAGAAGGCGGGCCCAGGCGTCCAGGTTGAGCAGGCGGGTTGCCGAAGCGTGAGCATGAATCGCGAGGAAGTCTCAAGCGATAGCGCGATTTCCAAGTAAATCGTGCGACAGGCCAGAGCGACAACGTGATTCCTACGGCCGGAGGAGCGACGCCTGAATAAGTTGCGAGGACGTCCCACGCGAGAGCTTGATGTCTGCATACAGTGTGACGAAGTCCCGCGCGAGAGCGCGTAATTGAAAGGAAGTGTGAGGAAGTATCAGGCGGGAACCGTTGTTGTTGTAACTCTGGGGCCAGGGGCCCAATTTGGAGACACTTCGTTTTCCCTTGTGAAAAAAAACGGGTGCGAGCACCGAGAGGAACACTTCAATTGAAGAATGCAATGGCCACCAGAGTGGAGGGATCAACAATCACTATGCTTTCGAGTTTAGAACGTATCAAAAACAACATCAACAATCATTTTAAGACTGTTCGCTGTTATCTGCTCACGGCAGTCGATACGTATATCCTTCACTATCGATACCCACCCTCTTCATCTTCGATCGTACCCCCTTAGGTGTATATCTGTCTTACCTGCAGCGTGTATTTCGTGCAGCCACTAAGGCAGGGGAAGATGGGACGGATGACGGAAGGGACTAGGGGCGGGCGGATTGCTGAAGCGTGCGCCCTGCATGAATCGCGAGGAAGTCTCGAGCGATAGCGTGATTACCAATTAAAGCCGTAGGAAATACACAGGGAGAGCGTGATTCCTGAGTGTCGAAGGTGCTGCGTCTGAATAAATTGCGAGGACCCACGCGAATAGATTGTGAGGAAGTCCCGCGCGAGAGCGCGATTTGAAAATCAATGTCGAAAACATGTCAGGCGGGAGCCGTTGTTGTCAACCGGGGGCCAGGGGCGCAATCTGATAACCCCCAACTTTCCCTCGTGAAAACCAAGGTGCGAGCAAAGGGAAGAGCATGTCAATCTAACAAATGCAATGGTTACCGGGCGGGGGGTTCAACAACCATTATTCTTTAGAGCTGAGAACTCAACAACAACAACGACGACGACAACAACAACAACACCACCAACACCAACACCACCAACAACAACAACATCAACAACGGCAGCAGCAGCAACAACAACAACATCAGCAACAACACCAATTATTTTAAGACTGTTCGCTCATATCTGCTCGCGTGACGTTCAATATGCATATCCCAGACCCTGGATACCCGCCCTCTTCGTCTTCGATCGTACCCCCTTTTGGGAGGTAGATTCATTCCCTGCCACGTGTGGTTGGTGAAGCCCTTGAAAACGAAGGGTAACAGATAACGGGGGAGAATGAGGACGAAGGGATCGGAGGAAGGGAGGGGAGGGGCAAGCGAAGGGGCCACGAAGGGCAGCGAGAAGGCCACGAAGGGCGACAGCGAGGCTACGAAGGGCATGCGTATGGGGCCACGACGGGCGACTGCGAGCGGGGGCCACGAAGGGCATATAATGCGGGGCCACAATGGGCAGCGACGGGGCTACTGAGGGCAGCAACGGGGCCACGAAGGGCAGCGAGCGAAGGCGACCGCGGAACCAGCACGGGCAGCGAGGGGCATCGAAGGCGGGCGAAGGGCAGCGAGCGGCGACTGCAGTCCCTAACGGGCTGGTCGGGCGGGCAGGCCCAGACGGGCGGGTCGAACGGGCGGGTCGTTGAAGTGTAAATTCTGCTTGAACCGTCAGGCAATATGTAGCGGGAGCGCGATTCCTGAGTGTCGAGAAGCGGCATCTGAATTAATGTTAGGAAGTATCATGCGGGAGCCGCGATTCGGTGGTATGTTGCGAGGAAGTCCCAAGCGAGAACGCGATTCTTCAATACATTGTGAGGAAGTGTCAAACGGGAACCGCGATCCGGTGGTAAATTGTAAGGACGTCCCAAGCGAGAGCGCGATTCTGTAATAAATTGTGGGGATGTGTCAAGCGAGAGCCGTTGTTGTTGTAAACTTGGGGCCAACTACACAATTTTACCCTCAACACTTTCCCTGATAAAAAAGTGCGAGCCACGGGAAAAGCACTTCAATAGAAAAAAACATGTACTCCGGACGGGGGGGATCAACAATACTATTCTTCAGAAATGAGAATTCAGCAACAGCAGCAACCACAACACCAACGACGACAACAACAGCAACAACCACAACAACAGCAATCAGTCTAAGACTGTTCGCTCTTGCACGCGTGCGTGTCTCAACATGCATATCCCAAACCCTCGCTACCCGCCCTCTTCATCTCTGACTATGCCCTTTTAGGGGTACATCTTCTTTGCCTGACATGTGCCATTGGCGCAGCCCCTTAAACAGGACGACGAGGGAGAAAGGAGAAAGAGAAATAACGATGACGAAGGGAGCAAGAAAAAAGGAGATAGGAAGATACGAGCAGGAGGGGGGATGAGGATGACAAGTTGCGCCGTAGCATTCGGTTCAGCTTGCGACACGTATGGCTACGAAGGGCTGCAACGGGGCCACGAAGGGCAACGAGGCGGTCACAAAGCAATGGGGCTTCGAAGGGCTGCGAGGGGGCCACGAAGGGCTGCAACGGGGCCACGAAGGGCAGCGAGGGGGCCACGGAGGGCTGCAACGGGGCCACGAATGGCAGCGAGGGGGCCACGAAGGGCTGCAACGGGGCCACGAAGGGCAACGAGGCGGCCACGAAGGGCTGCATCGGGACCACGAAGGGCAGCGAGGGGGCGACGAGGGGCTGCAACGGGGCCACGAAGGGCAGCGAGGGGGCCACGAAGGGCTGCAACGGGGCCACGAAGGGCAGAAATGGGGCCACGAAGGGCTGCACTGGGGCCACGAAGTGCAGCGAGGGAGCCACGATGGGCTGCAACGCAGCCACGGAGGGCAACGAGGCGGCCACGAAGGGCTGCAACGGGGCCACGAATGGCAGCAAGGGGGCGACGAGGGGCTGCAACGGGGCTACAAAGGGCAGCGAGGGGGCCACGAAGGGATGCATCGGGACCACGAAGGGCAGCGAAGGGGCCACGAAGGGCAGCGAAGGGGCCACGAAGGGCTGCAACGGAGCCACGAAGGGCTGCGACGGGGCCACGAAGTGCAGCGAGGGGGCCACGAAGGGCTGTAACGGAGCCGCGGAGGGCAACGAGGCGGCCACGAAGGGCAGCGAGGGGGCCACGAAAGGCTGCAACGGGGCCACGAAGGGCAGCGAAGGGGCCACGAAGGGCTGCAACGGAGCCACGAAGGGCAGCGAGATCTCGATCCCTAAGCAAGCTGCGAGGGAACCCTGGGCGTGAGCGCAACTCCTGGGTGCCTGAGTGTCGGGAGTGCGGCGCTTGAGTCAATTGCAGGGAATTCCAACGCAAGAGCGCGATTCTCGAGTAAATTGCAACCAAGTCTCCAGCCAGAGCGCGACTCCAGAGCGCCATGAAACGATTACTTAATACAGCGAAAGGAAGTCCCAAGCGAGAGCGGGATTCCTAAATAAACTGCGAGGACGCCTCAGGCGGGAGCGGGGGTCCTGGCTAAACTGTGGGGAAGTCTCAGACGGGAGCCGTTGTTGTTGTAACCCGGGGGCCAGGGGCGCAGTTAGACCTTTGTGACTTCCCTGATACAGCAAAACAGGGTGCGAGCCCCGGGGGAAGCACTTCTGTTGGACACATACAATGGTTACCAGAGGGGTGGGATCAGCACTATTTATTTCTCAAGAATGAGAACTCAACAACAACACAGTGAACAAGTGGAGAAGGGATGCGACCCAAAAACAGACCGAAGGTAGGAAGGGACACACGCTCGCGCTGAAGCACTCGTAACATGCCGTGGTCCAGTGCGGAGCCGCTTTCGGATACGATCTGCCAGTCGGACCTGGCCTGTGAGACCGAGCGGGCCCTGGGACAGCGGAGCGGGGGGCTGATTTGGATTCGTAGCTGGCGTAGGGGCCGCAACCGCGAAGAGAGCCAGAACTGCAGTCGGAGCCTCCGTCGAAGCCTAAACCTCTGTTGGAACTGGTTTAACACGAAAGCCGGCGTCGGAAGGGGAGTCGGGGAGGGAATCGGAGCTGGCGTCCGACCCGACCTGTAGGACGGAAAAGGATGAGGAGGCGGGGGAGGAGATGGAGCAGGAGGGAGGATGCAGGATGCTGGGTGGCGAAGGAACCTCTATATGTAGCCCCTTTGTTTCTCTCTCTCTCTCTCTCTTTCTCTCTCCGTCCGTGCTCTCTTTTCTGTCGCTTCTCTCTCCCTCTCCCTCCTTTCCTTCTCGCTCGCCTCCTCCCTCCTGACCCGCCACTCTCCCTTCGTCCCAGGGCCTCCTCCTCCTTCTCCTCCTCCTCTTCCTCCTCCTCCTCCTACTTTTCCTCCTCTTCCTTCTCCTCCTCCTCCTCCTCCTCCTGCGTCCTCCTCCTCCTCCTCCTGCGTCCTCCTCCTCCTCCTCCGCCTCATCCTCCTCCTCCTCCTCCTCCTCCTCCTCCTCCTCCTCCTCCTCCTCCTGGCTCCCGACGAGGGGCGGGGCGCCCACCCCCCTCGCCGGCGGGTCCACAGGGACGCCCCGTGCGCCGTGGCATGGAAGGCCGCGAGGGCGAGGAACGCCCGGAGCTCGCCCCCCTCGCCGCCGGCGCCGGCGGCGCTCGCCTGGCCAGTGGCGGCGGGGCGCTATTGGAGGAGGAGGAGGAGGAGGAGGAGGAGGGAGGAGGAGGAGGAGGAGGTGGAGGAGGAGGAGGAGGGGAGGACGAGGAGGAGGAGAGGGAGGAGGAGGAGAGGAGAGGAGGGAGGAGGAGGAAGAGGAGGAGGAGGGAGGAGGGGGAGGAGGGAGGAGGAGGAGGAGGAGGAGGAGGAGGAGGAGGAGGAGGAGGAGGAGGAGGAGGAGGAGGAAGACGAGGAGGAGGAGGAGGAGGAGGAGGAGAGGAGGAGGAGGAGGAGGAGGAGAAGAAGGAGTATGAGTATGAGTATGAACCATCTGCGACAGCAGGTTATGAATAACGACCACAGGGAGAATATGAGGGCCTTGGCTGTCGACGTTGCTGTTCGGCCTTGCTGAGCACCTTTGGGACAAGCCCATTCTGGATGCGGTCGAGATACTCACGCCCCGTACGGGTGGGGCGCGCACAGGGTTTGCCGAGGGACCCAAGCTGCTTATCAGCGATACCCCCGCAACACCCACAACACCAGGTGCTAAGCACGGTATGATAGTTGAGGAAGTGGGATGGGTGCAGCCAGCCCCCCGCTACATGGATCCGCGCCCCCTTGGGGGGGAAAAGGATAGTCCCGTCAACGTTGACAAGCACAGGACACGGGGTCTTCCACCACTCGGCCATTGTAGCCCGAGAGGCCGACCCGAAACACTTCAAACACTTACGTTTACACTCCGAGAGCCTGTGAGCCGATAGGAGAGGGGCGAGAGCAGCAGCAGCGGGGCGGGGAGGGGGGAGAGGGGGGGGGGACCCCCTCGTTTTTCCTCACATCCTGAGTGGGGTTCTTGTTTTCCCAGGACACCCTCTCCTTCCCACCTTCCCACCTTCCCACCTTCCCACCTCCCGCTCCCTCTTCCTACTCCTACCATACCATACTATACCATACCATACAATACCGCTCCCTCTTCCTACTCCTACCATACCATACTATACATACCATACAATACCATACCATACTATAGCAGACCACCGTTCCTACCATACCACACTTAGGAAACCATACATACACCATCACCGCATACCTACCACACCATACAATACCATACAATACCATACAATACCTACCTACCACGCTCGCTCCCTCTTCCTATTCCTAACATGCCATACTATACCATACCATACAATACCATACCATACTATAGCAGACCACCGGAGTCAGGCAAGCACGTAGGAAACCATACATACACCATCACCGCATACCTACCACACCATACAATACCATACAATACCTACCTACCGCTCCAGGGAGGCCCCGCCAGAGCGAGGACAGCATTCGCAAACCATATTATTTATCAGGTTTCGTGCCCCTCCCACCGCTCCAGGGAGGCCCCGCCAGAGCGAGGACAGTATTCGCGAACCATATTTTTTTATCAGGTTTCGTGCCCCTCCCACCCCTCCAGGGAGGCCCCGCCAGAGCGAGGACAGTATTCGCAAACCATATTATTTATCAGGTTTCGTGCCCCTCCCACCCCTCCAGGGAGGCCCCGCCAGAGCGAGGACAGTATTCGCAACCATATTATTTATCAGGTTTCGTGCCCCTCCCACCGCTCCAGGGAGGCCCCGCCTGAGCGAGGACAGTATTCGCAAACCATATTATTTATCAGGTTTCGTGCCCCTCCCACCGCTCCAGGGAGGCCCCGCCAGAGCGAGGACAGTATTCGCAAACCATATTATTTATCAGGTTTCGTGCCCCTCCCACCGCTCCAGGGAGGCCCCGCCAGAGCGAGGACAGTATTCGCAAACCATATTATTTATCAGGTTTCGTGCCCCTCCCAGCGCTCCAGGGAGGCCCCGCCAGAGCGAGGACAGTATTCGCAAACCATATTATTTATCAGGTTTCGTGCCCCTCCCACCGCTCCAGGGAGGCCCCGCCAGAGCGAGGACAGTATTCGCAAACCATATTATTTATCAGGTTTCGTGCCCCTCCCACCGCTCCAGGGAGGCCCCGCCAGAGCGAGGACAGTATTCGCAAACTCCGCCAGAGCGAGGACAGTATTCGCGAACCATATTATTTATCAGGTTTCGTGCCCCTCCCACCCCTCCAGGGAGGCCCCGCCAGAGCGAGGACAGTATTCGCGAACCATATTTTTATCAGGTTTCGTGCCCCTCCCACCCCTCCAGGGAGGCCCCGCCAGAGCGAGGACAGCATTCGCAAACCATATTATTTATCAGGTTTCGTGCCCCTCCCACCCCTCCAGGGAGGCCCCGCCAGAGCGAGGACAGTATGTTCAAACCATATGGGTTTATCAAGTTTCGTGCCCCTCCCACCCTTCCAGGGAGGCCCCGCCAGAGCGAGGACAGTATTCGCAAACCATATTATGTATCAGGTTTCGTGCCCATCCCACCGCTCCAGGGAGGCCCCGCCTGAGCGAGGACAGCATTCGCAACCATATTATTTATCAGGTTTCGTGCCCCTCCCACCCCTCCAGGGAGGCCCCGCCAGAGCGAGGACAGTTTTCGCGAACCATATTATTTATCAGGTTTCGCGCCCCTCCCACCTCTCCAGGGAGGCTCCACCAGAGCGAGGAGGGTATTCGCGAACCATATTATTGATCAGGTTTCGTGCCCCTCCAACCCCTCCAGGGAGGCCCCGCCTGAGCGAGGAGGGGCCCCTGCCACCCCTCCAGGGAGGGTATACGAATACCATACTATTTATCAGGTTCCGTGCCCCTCCCAACCCTGCAGGGAGGTCCCGCCTGAGCGAGGAGGGTATACGAATACCATACTATTTATCAGGTTCCGTGCCCCTCCCACCCCTCCAGGGAGGCCCCGCCTGAGCGAGGATGGCCCGCGGCTCGCTTGCAGTCGAAGGTGCGCTATGTAAATACCTTCTGCGTGGCCCGCCCACACTGCGCGCGCGAAGGTCCCCGCTCTCGTGCTGTCGTTCCGATTTGCACTATCTTGGCCGCGTCGTGTACGCGAGGTGTTCCCCAAAACATTTGCCTGCACATCGCCATCGCCAATTGCAGTCTTCGTCGCCCCCGTCACCCGGCCATCCTCGTCGACCCCTCCCCCCGCACCTCCGCCTCTTCCTCTTCCTCCTGACTAAGCCCGCGCCCTATTAAAACGCCCATGTGGGGAACTCCGTTAGCATAATTCCTATCCCGCTCCTCCACAGCTAAAGCCTTCGCAGCAGCAAAACAATCGAGGGTTGCTCGAAGGAGCCGAAGTCGAATTCGAAAGGCATTGTATTCGATGAGGCTCACTCTAGTCCGAATTGCCTCTGGAATCCTAGCGAGCTCGGCGGCCTTGTCAGCTAGGGTGTCGGCCACCGTATTAACTAGCACAAGACTGCGGACCGACCGTCCTGCGATTATGTCCCCCTCGTCCTGGTGACTTCGGGTGAAAAGAATGGTGATGTCACTGTATCGTCTAGCACACATGAGGTTCCCGATCTTGGCCCACAAATCCGCATCGGGTCCTCTAGGCGTGAGAAAACTTTGGAATACCAGCTCTCGGCCAGCGGCTCAAAGTCAGTTATATACAAGACGTAACCACGCGTGGTATACAAAGTTAAATAGAACGCCATCATTTCACCCCGAGCAACAACCTGTCTGTGGCCACTCAGGGGGCCCAGTATGGAGGCTTCGAGGCACAGCGGGGTCAGGGAGGAAAACCTGGCTATGGCCACTCCTACACGGCGGAGCTGAGGCGACCTGGAGTCAGGTCCCCCCGAGGCGTCCCCCGAAAACAGTAGCGGACACTCGCGTGATCCCTCACCGAAAAACCCAGCTTCAACCTCATTCACGCCCGTCGCTTCCCTGGAGTCGTGCCCAACAGGTTCAGGGACGCGGGTCCACGGTTCGGGAATGAGGCCTCTCAGCCAGAAAGCCTCAGCTGTGTTGAGCTGGGTGGTGGCCTGGATCACGAGGTCCTCACTCATGTCGAAAACCTTGGACCCCTTGTTGTGACTGCATTCCCAATATCGATGTAGGGCAGTATCTGGCTTCTCTTTGCACCTATCACAAAGGTCTGATCCCTGAAAGTGTTTAATCATCTCAACCTTTCTCACCTTGGGCCAGCAACCAGCAGCCGCAATCATTGTCATGGTCTCCGCCAGCCTGCTTCCGTCGGGGCCAGCGGAGAGGTGGCGGAGCAGGGTGCGGTAGGATTCATTGTCCACTCCTCGTTCCAATCCTCCTCCAAGGTACTGCTTGCTTGCCTGTGTCCAGGTAGTGCGGCTGGCTGCCTCCTCTAAGTCACGTAACAGGTGCTAGTGATGGTCCAAGTGCGGGTTGCCAGTATATAAATCACCTGGAAAAGTCCAAACCTCGTACGTGCTGTCACTGGTAGGGTAACTCCATTCACTAGGCGAGGTGGGCTGCCAACCCACGCGCAACAGGTTCAGGACGACCGCTGACACGGGCCCTCGTACAAGTCGGACTTGGTTGAAGGTCTCGGTGCCCTGTAATCGAGCGACCACTTTAGGCTAGATGCGACGGACTCCATCACGTATATGAGGATGGTCCCGTCACGTCTTGAGCCAGAGGTCAGCTCCCTGGATCACCATCCTGATGGCTGGGTCAGCCTTGGGTGCCTTGAGGTCGAGGACCGTGGTGAGGCACCTGCCCCTGTTGAGGAGAAGAAGGAGGAGGAGGAGGGGGAGGAGGAGGAGGAGGAGGAGGAGAAGGAGGAGGAGGAGGAGGAGGAGGAAGAGGAACACCCCTGCTTCTTAGAAGGCGCCGGCACCATCACATGCTCTTCGAAATTGGGAATACAACAACATCAACAACAATAGCAACAACAACACCAACAACAACAACACAAACAACCCAACCAACAGCAGAAACAGCAACAGCAACACTAACAACAGCAGCAGCAGCAGCAGCAACAACAACAGCAACAACATCAACAAAGTACACCCCGGGACTGCGACCCCGTCAACCCTGGTTCCTCTCCCAGGCTCCCCCCTTTCGCGCAACCCGGACCTGCCGCCCCGTGCGGACCTCCCCCCCCCACCAACCAACCAACCAACCAGCTCTCGCTGTAACACAAAAAAACTGTATATCACGTATGGGGAGGAGGAGGAGGAGGAGGAGGAGGAGGAGGAGGAAGGACGACGACGAGGACGGAGGGAGGAGACGGAGGAAGGAGGAGGAGGAAGGAGGAAGGAGGAGGAGGAAGGAGGAAGGAGGAGGAAGGAGGAAGGAGGAAGGAAGGAGGAAGGAGGAAGGAGGAGGGAAGGAAGGAGGAAAGGAGGAAGGAGGAAGGGAAGAGGAAGGAGGAAGGAGGAAGGGAGGAGGGGAGGAAGGAGGAGGAAGGAGGAAGGAGGAAGGAGGAAGGAGGAAGGAGGAAGAATGGCTACAGATAGCTCAGCAGGGCAGGGAGGAGCAGCCAGAGGAAAGAGTGAAACGAGGGGGAGCTAATGAGGGACGAGAGGGGAGAGTGGGGTGGGGCGGCTGGGAGGGAGGAGGCAAGTATGGGAGCTACTCCACCCTCCTCCTCCTCCTCCCCCTCCCTCCTCCTCATCCTCCTCATCATCATCATCAGCATCACCACCACCATCATCATCATCATCATCATCATCATCATCATCATCATCATCATCATCACCAACACCATCATCACCAGAACCATCACCATCACCATCACCATCACCACCACCACCATCATCATCATCATCATCGTCATCATCGTCATCATCGTCATCATCATCATCACCATCATCATCATCACCACAACCACCACCATCATCATCATCATCATAACCATCATCATCAGCATCAGTATCAGCAGCATCATCATCAACATCATCATCATCATCTGCATCATCATCATAACCACCACCATCACCATCACCATCACCACCACCACCATCATCATCATCATCATCGTCATCATCATCATCAGCATCATCATCATCATCATCACAACACCACCATCATCATCATCATAACATCATTATCAGCATCCTCATCAGCAGCATCATCATCAACATCATCATAATAATCATCATCATCTGCATCATCATAATCGTCATCATCGTCATCGTCATCATCATCATCATCATCATCATCACCATCACCATCATCATCATCATCATCATCATCATCATCATCATCATCATCATCATCTGTATCATCATAATCGTCATCAATATCCTCAGTATCACCATCATCATCAACATCATCATCATCATCATCATCAGCATCATCCTCATCGCCGTCATTATCATCATAATCGTCCCCCTCCCCTCATCATCGTCCCTCCTTCCACTCATTATCATCGTCATCATCCCTCCCCTCCCGTCCCTTCTCCCTCCCCTCCAGCCCCTCCTGCTGCCGCTGCTTCCCTTTCCGCTCCCCAGAAAACATAAAGAGAGCGAGGAAGATAGAGCGACAGAGACAGAGACAGAGACAGAGACAGAGAGAGAGAGAGAGAGAGACGCACGCACGCACGCACGCACAAACGCACACACGCGCTCTGGCGGCCGCATGAAACGTAGACTGAAAGAGAAAACGCGCCGCATTGAATAGCAATATCCCTAATGAAACTTGGTGAACCTTGAGGAAGACGCCCAAGACGGCCCCCCAGGCCCCCCAGACGGCCCCAGACGGCTCCAAAGGACCCCCCAGAAGGCGAGTGGGACCCCAGGATGGCCCAAGAGGGCCCCCAGACGGGGGGGGAATCGGGGGGAGGGGTTGATTGTTTGGTGTGGGGGGGGCGGGCTGGGGGGCCAGACCCGGTGTCTTTCAACAGCAACAACAACAACAACTAAACCAACAATCAATTTAAGACTGGTCGCTCATATCTGCTCGCGGGCCATTCAACCCGTATCCCAAGCCCTCGGTACACGCCCTTTTGGTTTTCGATCGTACCCCCTTAGGGAGATATATCTTTCTTACCTGCAGCGTGTAATTCGGGCAGCCCCTAAGGCAGGGGAAGAGACGACGGATGGAAGGGACAAGGGGGGCGGAGGAGGATGGAGCACGAGAGAGAGAAGCAGGAAGGGGGCTAGGAGCAGAAAGCACGTGGCAGAACCAGACGGGCAGATCTAGCGAGTAGACCCTAGCGGGCGGGTCGGGAAGGCGGGCGCAGGCGGCCAAGTTGAGCACGCGGGTTGCTGAAGCGTGCGTCCTGCATGAATCGCGAGGAAACCTCGAGCGACAGGGCGATTCCAGTTTAAACCGTCAGGAGATCCACAGCGAGAGCGTGATTCCTGAGTGTCGAGGGCGCGGCATCTGAATCAATGACATGGAAATCCTACACGAGAGCGCGAGTCCAGTATAGTGTGTGAGGACGTCCCGCGTGAGAGCGCCATGTGGGAATGAAGTGTGAGGGATTATCAGGCGGGAGCCGCTGTTGTTGCGAACCGGGGGCCCGGGGCACAGTTTGGTGACCCTCACTTTCCCTAGAAAAAGACCAGGTGCGATCCCCAGGAGAAGAACTTTCATTGAAACATACAATGGTTACGGGAGGGGGATCAACTATACTCTTTAGGACAGAGAATCCAACAACAACCGGAACCAACATCAACAACAACAGCAAAAACAACAACAACCACGACAACAATAACCACAACGACGACGACGACGACGACAACAGCACCACCACCACCACCACCACCACCACCACCACCACCACCACCACCACCACCACCACCAACAACAACAACAACAACAACAATACACACACACACACACGAACACCAACACCACCAACAGCAACAATGACAACACTACCACCACCAACCACAACACCAATCATCTTAAGACGGATCGATCATGTTAAGAGGCGCCCCAGAGGCCTCAAGAGCCAAGAGGCCCCAAGAGGCTTCCAAGAGGCCCAAACGAGGCCCCATGAGGGCCCCAAACGGGCCCCGAGAGTCGTCAAAACTGCCTCGAAGAGGACCGCGAGAGGCCTACCATGAGATCCGCACGAACATCCAACAGACTTCACACCCAAAACCCAGGCACAGTGGCGGGATAGGCGGAAGGCCAGTAGACTACAAGAAGAATCCGCGCTGCGGGTCCCCACGTCAGCCACGCACCCAAGAATATTGCAAAACCGTTCGCCCCCCCCCACTCTAACGTATCCGCTCGTTCTTCCAGGCCTCGCTGCTGTGGCCACTGCCCCGTCCAGGGAACGACGCCCTAGCCCTGGACCGCGCCAGTGCGCGGCTCGCCTCGGCGGGCGCTCTGCGCCGGGCAGGCCGCGCCCCCGAAGCCGCGCTGGCAGCCTCGCCCGCGCGCGCGGGGCCAGCGCTGGGGCCGGCAGCCTCGTCGCCGCGGCCGCTGCGTCGTCTGGGGGACGACGCCCTCCGCCTGTCCGCTGCGCCGCCCGCCTCGGCAAGAGGCCCGCGGCGAGGCCAGGCGAGGCGGCGGCGGCGGCGGCTTCGCCCACCAGCGCGGGGCCAGCGCTGCCCAGCGGCGCGGCCGCGCACACGGCTGCCCGACGGGCCGCGCGGAGGCGTCGCAGCGCGGCGTCGAGGGCCTCCTCGCCAGCCTGCAGGGCGCCGCTGGGGAGGCTCAGCTGCTCGGCGCGCCGCAGGGCCTCGGGCAGGGCTGCCGCCCTGGCCTCGTCGTCGTCGCTGGCGCCGCCGCCGTCCGCCAGCCGCGCCAACACGGCGAGGGCGTCCTCGCGTTCCAGGTTACGAGTCGCCTCCGTGAGTGCGCCCTATGGCGCGCCGACCGCGCGGCCCTCGCCCAGCGCCTCCCGCAGCTCCTCGCGCCGGCCGGCCCCGCCCAGGGCGGCCTGGGAAGCCAGCGAGAGCCTCCTGCAGCTCAGCCGCAACACGGCGCGGCGGACCGCCAGCCGCTCCGCGTCGGCCAGCTCCGCCCGAGCCGCCCAGAGCACCAGCGGCCGCGGCCTGGAACTCCTCGAGAGCCGTTTCTGCCGCGCTGTCGCCCCCGTCCACGCCCGCCGTCGCGGCGGGCTCACGCTCCGCGCGTGGGGCCGACATGCGTGCGCCCCCGCGGGCGTTCGCAGGGAGGGGGCCGGGTGCTGCCGCAACTGTCCCTGGGCCACGGGTGTCCCCTGGATCTCCCAGGAGGCCCAGATGTCCTGCAAAGCCACCCTCGTGAGGCCCGCAGGGCCCACAGGTCCCACGGGGGCCCCCCAATGGTGCGGGAAGACGGAGACCCCGTGGGCCAGGAGGACCTTCGGCAGCCCTCGAAGAGAGGAGGGAGGCGGGCGGGCCTAGTTAGAAGGGAGCAGGGCGACCTGTGCCCGAACGGCTCGAGCAGTTGATTTGCGCACCTTGTCGATGCCGCGGGGTGAAGGAGCCTACAGGTCTGCCCGCTCGTTGACGGCCGCACCCGCCCCAAGAGTGGTCATGGCAGGTCCGTCGCCGCTCTGCCGACTCGGTGCCCTGGCCCGCCGACGGCCACTCGAGGCGTGAGCGCCGCCGCTTCGAGGCCGTCGCCGAGCTCGCCGAGCCCTGGCCGCCCCTCTTGCTGGAGCAGCCCCCTGCCCTCGTGAGGCCGCCGGCGGCCCGCCGGTGCGCGTGCTGGCCGCAGCTCGGCGGCTCGAGGCGGCTCGAGGCGCGACGCTCCGCCGCGCTCGAGCCGCGCGGCGAGCTGGCGGCCGAGGGGCCGCCCCCGCCCTCGTGGGGCCTGCCAGCCCCGTCTCCCCCGGGGCGCCTCGTGCTCCACCGCCGCGGCCAGCGGCAGCAGGATGCCCACCGACCGGGCCGCCGAGGACGGCAGCAGCAGGCCCAGGCCCACCTCCGCGAGGCAGAGGCCGTACGCCAGGTCAGGGGCGCTGCCGCCGAAGGCGCGCAGGAAGTGCAGGCCCACCTTGCGAGGGGGCGCAACGAGGGGTGGGGCACCAGAGGCGGCCTTCCCAGGAGGCGCGGGGGGCTTCTCTGGCGCCGTCCTGTCTTCCGAAAAGGCCGCTTCAGGAGCCTCCCGATGTCCAAACCTGGGCATGGCCCACGACTCCTGAGAATGGCTCGGAGGTCCGGAGGTCCTGGGCATGGCCCACGGCTCCTCAGAAGGCCATACAAACCCCTCGCCCCGTGTGCGCGCCACCGACCACCGCAGAGATCCGACGTCTTGATTTTTTCTGTGCGGGGTCTCCAGAAGTCTGGATCCACGCCAGGAGACCGGCTTTTCATCCTGAATCGTTTTTTGACAGTCCCGGTGCTCGGCGAGGGCCTCCAGAGGAGGAAAATCGCGGAAAACACTTGTCTTGTTTTTCCCAACCATCCTCTGGTGTTGAGTCCTCGTTCTGAACAGACAGCGTCCCGCATCCCTCTATCCTTCCCTCCACCTCCCCTTCCTCCCTCCTCCCATCTCTGCCTCTGCCCTCCGCCTGCCTATCATTTCGGCACACACACACACACCTCACACGCTTCGTGGCCTCGTAGAGAGCTCCACGCGGTCGCATGGCACCACCGCGCCCACTTCGGCACGCCCCTCACACGCTTCGTGGCCTCGTACGGAGCTCCACAAAGGGCCCCAATGGCTGCGCTCGCTTGGCACCACCGCGCAAATGTCGGCACACCCCTCACACGTTGCCCCGTAGGGAGCTCCACCGAGGGCCCCAGTGGCAGCGCCCGCATGGCACCACCGCGCCCGTTTCGGAACACCCTTCGCACGTTTCGTGGCCCCATAAGGCGCTCGACCGAGGGCCCCAGTGGCAGCGCCCGCATGGCATCACCGCGCGCGCTTCGGAACACCCTTCGCACGTTTCGTGGCCCCAGAAGGGGCTCGACCGAATGCCCCAATGGCAGCGCCCAGATGGCACTACTGCGCCCATGTCGGCACGCCCCTCACACGTTTCGTGGCCCCGCAGGGGGCTCCACCGAAAGTGGTCGGTACCCACAACGCGGTGCTCACGATTGCGTATGGCTGGGTCTTTCGCCTGGATAACTTTCAACACGTTGGATCTTCGGGACCCTCTGCGACAGCCCGGTGCTCTCGAAGGCGCGCGCCAGGAAGAAGGACGCGAGCACGAGCCACGGCACCTCGCTGCCGAAGCCCGAGGCGGCCCTCTCGAGCGGCAGGGCGTCCGAGGCGACCGCTGCCGACAGGGCCGCCACCGCCAGCGCGCCGGGCGGCAGCGCGTCCTGGGATGCACAGAAACATACTAATACTATGTGTCCGCCTTGGAGGCGCGCGTCCGACCCGAACATATAGTATACCCATCTTGTAGTATATCGTTTCCCGAGCGGTGTGGCCAGAAAGCGCCCGCCACGACGCATATACTATAGGATTTCTCGGTGCGCGCGTCGCCCCTGGGGGGGCGACGCACATATAGTATAAGTATGTTGGGGTGTTGCCGACGTCCAGCGCCGCCGCGGCCAGCGTGGCGCCGAAGACGCCGGCGAGCCTCCGCCTCGCCTCGGCCCCGTGCGCCTCCGCGGCGCCGCCCTCCGCCGAGCCCGGCGCGGGCGGCACCCACGGCGGCAGCCGCCGCCACAGCGCCAGCCCCGCCGCCGCCGCCAGCGCCAGCCGCGCCAGCCGCCCTCTGCCGGAGCGGCGGCCCCCGTGCGCCGCCGCGCCCGCGCCTGCCCGCGGCTGCGCGGCCGCGGCGGCGTTCGCGCTGGCCGCACCTGGCGGCGGCTGCTCGTGCAGCGGGGCGCTGGGGCGCAAGAGAGGCGCCAGCGGCATCCGGCGGGCGCCCCGGGCGGCATCCGCGCGGGGGGGGTGGGGGGGGGGCAGTCCCGGCGGGTGGCGCGCGAGAGGCCTGGTCCTGCTCCTCTGCAGCCCCCTTCTGCGCCTCCTGCAGCTCCCCTGATTGCTGCCGCGGCTCCGCCTCCCCCCCTTCCCCTTCTTTTGCTGCTGTTCCTCCTGTCCCCTTCCAGCGGATCAAATCATCCCTGTCGCACCCCGAGGCCGGTCGAAAGGTCGGACCAGGCGCGTCGCCTGAGACTCCCTCACTGTTTATGACCCTGAAGCTTGGAATGTGCCATCGCTTCACGGATGGAGGGCGGGCCGTTTTCAAAATGTGGCTCTCGCCTCCGCGCCGCGCACATTAGTACTAGAAGTCTGCGACAGCTTCACGGATGTAACGCGGGTCGATTTGAAATTGTGGCTCGCGCCTCCGCTGTGCGCGCACTCGTCTTCAAAACCGCAGCAGTTTCATGAATGGAGGTCGATTCCTTTTCGAAATGTGGCTCCCGCCTGAGCGCCGCGCGCGTTTGGTTTAAGAGTTTCCACCAATGTGCGGGTTCTCATGGTCAGCCTCCCAAGAAGTGCGTTTTGGTATGATGTCGGGCTGTCAGGGCGCAACCGTTACGCTGATTCGTGGTGTTGAGGTCCCAAAACGGCGTTCTGGCGCGATTCAGGATCGTCAAGACTCAACAGAAACTGTGGTTCGCGGAGTTGAAGTCCCAGGAATGGTGTTCTGTTTCAAATGTGCAAGCGGTTTTCTTCCAACGGGGCACCTCCGTCAGTGAAAATGAATCCTTGTAGGGGCTGGTGAAGAGGGAACTTAGAGGATGTAGTACAATATCGTTGATGGGTCTTCGGTTTGCTCTGGTACTTCTCCTCCGCCTCCTGCTCCTTTTCCTCCTCATCCTCCTCTCTTGCTGCACTTCGTCCTCTTGATCCTCTTCCTCCCCCCCTCCTCACCCCCCTCCGACGTTTTCCATCAACACCCCTCCGCGGAGCGCCAAAGGCAGGCACCGCATCGATTCGTGCTGGTTCAAATTGCATGCCCCGCGTGCCTTGGATCTTCGACGGCGACGTTTCTGGAGCGTTCCCGAGGGAGACATGCGTGGCCCTGAATAAATGTCGCGCTGGGCTGTGCGGCGCCTGAGATTCTCAGCGGGGCGATCACGCGCAAGCCACGAGTGAAAGACACGCGCGTGGACTCTGAAAGGGCCGTGGCAGCACGCGCGCTCGGAAAGTGGGCGCGCTCCGACTGCCTGATCGCGAACCTGTCGCGAGCCCGAGGCATGTTCTGTGCCGCGCCCCCCCGAGCTGCGAGAACCAGACTTGGGACGGAATCGCCCGTCCATTAGAAATCAATCTTCGAACCGGCGAATCTCGGAGATGGCTGGGAGATCCGTCGTCTCGCGCAAGGTCTCGATTCGGTTGGATCTCAAAACGATTCCCGCCCCCCGCCCAGAAACAGCACCGGTTTTTGCAGCCGGGGCGAACCATTACCCCCGCATCGTCCCGCCGACCTGATCCTGGCAGGGGGCGTAGGCACTATCTCACATAGTCCAGCCTCTCCCTCCTCCTTCCTCCATCTCCTCCTCCCCCCCCCCCCCTCCCCCTCTTTCTTCCTCCCTGCCCCATCCCTCTTCCTGATCAATACCTCCTCTCTGTCGCATCCCGAGACGGATCGGCAGGGCGAGCCGAGGAGCGTCGCCTGAGACGTCCTCATCACGTATGACCCTGACGCCTGAAAATGGCAACGGCTTCATGGATGAAGCACGGGTCGTGTTCAAAATGCGGTTCCCGCCTGAGCGCCGCGCACACCCGTCTTAAACGTTAGCAGACAATTCACGGATGGAGGGCGAGTCTTTTTCAGAATGTAGCCGCTGCCTTCGCGCCGCGCACGCTCGTCTCAAAAGTTGCCAGGGCTTCACGGGCAGGAGGCGGGCGGTTCTCAGAATGTGGCTCTCGCCCGAGCGCACCGCGCGCTCGTCTTAAAGGTTGAAACACTGTCACGAATGGATGGCAGGTCGTTTTCAACATGCGGCTCTTGCCTTCGCGCCGCGCACAAACTGTCTTAAAACGCTGTAGGAGCTTCACGGATGGAGGGCGGGTGCTTTTGGAAATGTGGCTCTCGCCTGGGCGCCGCGCACTTTCGTCTTCAAAGTTTACAACGCGGTCAAGGATTCTGATGTTTGACGTCCCCCAGATATCGTGTTTTGACATGGTCTAGGGTTGTCAGAGCGCGACAATCATGTCATTTCGCGGCGTTGACGTCCCATGCACGGTGTCCCGGCACGATTTAGGATCGTCAGGTCGCGAGAGTAAAGTTGATTCGCGGCGTTAATGTCCCAAGAATGGTGCTTTGGCACGGTTGAATATTTTCAGATGGTTGTCTTCTCACGGGGCTCTTCCCACAATGACACTAAGTCCTTATAGAAGCCGGTGAAGACAAAACTTTGAGGGAGAGTTGATTGCAACATGGTTATTGAGCCTTCGGCTTACGCTGGTCATCCTCTTCCTCCTCCTCCTCCTCCTGCTCCTCCTCTCTCCCTCCTCCCTCCTCCATCCTCCCTCCTCCCTCCTCCTTCCTCCCTCCTCCCTCCTCCTCTTCCTCCTCCTCCTCCTCCTCCTCTTCCTCCTCCTCCTCCCCCTCCTCCTCCTCCTCCTCCTCCACCTCCTCCTCCTTCTCCCTCCTCTCCTCGCTCCTCTCCTCCCTCCTCTCTCCCCCCGCGCGCCCGCGGCAGCGCGCTTCGAGCGCTCTGTTGCCGCGCTGTCCTATCCATGCGCTCCCCACGCTGGCCAACATGTCTCAGTCTGCACGCCCCTCCTCCAGGACCCCCAGCCTGCCTGTTCATCGCAAGCTTCTCCCGAGGCCGTAATTGCTGCAGCATCCGATGGCCAGCCCCTGCCGAGAACGAGCAGCAAAAACACCACCTACTCGACCACCCTTTGGGTGATAAGGAGGTTCGAGGGGTGGGGAGGAACCACCTTCTCACTCAATCGATTTCACTGTCGATCATACTCTCGATCATACTATCGATCCCACCGTCGGC